AACGTTTTTTTTTTGACACACTATTTCAAACGATATATATACCCAGATAGTAGTACACAGCGAACACAAATGATTGGATGGAATATGGTATGAACAAACACATTTTTTTTAATTCAAACAATGTTCTTTTTTTCGTCTCTCGTTCCGAGACCAAACCATCCAACTTGGCTGGAGTTTTTCTCTATGCAAATATTTGATTGCTATCGTGTATTAATTGAAAACAAACACCGAACTAAAACGTAAGCACAAATTAACACATACACGAGAGAGAAAAAAGAGAGAGAGAGATAGAGAGAGAGAGAGAGAGAGAGAGAGATGGCGATTTGTTACTCCAATTTTTTCTCTATGTTTAATATCACGTCTTTATATGATTGGCGAATACACAGAGCAACAAAAGAACAAAAAAAAATAATACTAATAGTAATAATAGTAGAGAGCCAAACCTATATACACATGAACACAATTTGAGTTTTTTTTTTAAATGGCAGCTGTCACAAAAATACCATCCCTCTTGAATTATTGCAAAAAGGCACGTAAACAAACTATACCAAATTGCTCAATTTTTTTTCCGTTCTGCTCGTTCAATTCGTTTGGGTCAAGAACTTTGCCGAAAATTCAAGTTATTTACATATACTATTTTTGTTGTTGTTGTTGAATGAACAGCCCAACAACATCAAAATACACATACTCTTTTGATAGGTAAATGCACACAGAGTAAAAATCACCAGCTGTAGTAGCAACAATACAAAAAAAGATAAGAATATTTAATGATTTACGGATTTAAATTTCCGATCACACTTGTTGATTTTCCACATGAGCTCTTTCACAAAGAACAGAGAAAAAAAACACACAGCTAACTTTAAGCACAGACAGAAAGCAAGAGCTTCTGCTGATGGACTGTCACTGGAACGTAATGTGTACGGAATGAATGTAAAATGACACGAACGAACAATCAACCATATGGGTTTTGTTTACTTCAAACAGACTTCATAAATATATATATATATATATTGTGTTGTTGTTGTTGTTATTTGGCCTGTCGTTGGTCGATGCATATTTGGTTAGAGTTTCTTGTAATAGCATTAGTCAGTTTGGACAGAAAAAATTGTATAGTATATATATACATTGAACAAATGAGCATGCACCGACTCTCTGACTGAAATAGCCACCCGTATGCTTTGTCGGCCGTTTTTTTTCTACGCGTGTTTGTGCAAACGAATTAAGAAGCACCACCCATTTCAAAGTGTGCTCACTTGCTGCGACTTAATTCGCCGCTCTGCTCCGATGTTACACGTGCATCGATCAATAATTTTTTTTTCTGTAGGTTTTTCTTTGTTCACAATGGATATACCTAATGCGTTTGAGAGTTGATTCCATGATTTTTTGCTACCTAAAGATTATATGCATCACGTGTCTTTTGTCCCATTTGATTTGTAATTTGCATTACATCGGAGTCATACGATGAACACCATAATTTGATTTCCATGAAAATCTGATTTTATCCATAAATGTCATTCACAAAACATCAAAATTCAGCGTCCGTCTGAGAAAGCAAGTATAGGATAATAAAAACAACGGAAAAAAAAACTAATAGCGAATGGAAGAAGAGAAATTAGAAAGGCGATAATCATTGAAAACCATTCGAAAAAAAAGTTGAATATTCGCAGAAAAACGATACTTTTTGTTCTATTATTCATATTCGACGACATCCACTTGTAGTTAGGGTACAAGTGTAAATAACAATGTGGCGTGATGTGAACAACAACATCAGCAGCAGAAGCAAAAGTAATAACACTAAAAAAAAGTTTTTCCTCTTAGCTTATAAGTTACGAGGCTCTTATAACTTGTTTCGCGCTATGCCAAGCCATGGGTGTCGACGAACACACACAGCGCGCGCGATACACAGAGAGACTGAAGGCAAGGCTGAATGTTGTATGATAAATTGGGAGCTTTTCATAAATTAACGAACTCAAGTGGCTGTAGACACGGGTCCAAAAGCTACCTACGACTATTTTTTTTCGTGTCAACTCTATTTTGTCATTCATTTACAATATACTATATACTTGTAGGGGGAGCCAAAGTGAACAGTTGAATTTTCGTTTGAAAAATTGTAATTTTGTTCCTCATTAAAAATGATGAAAAAAAAAAACAAAAACAAATAAAAGGGAAACCATCTCCTACAAAAACAAAGACTGTGTAAAAGAATGATTTCATATCGAGTTCTGGCCAGGAATTAATTTGTGCTGTACCAAAGGCGTGCGCACGTTCTAATTAATTTTCTATATTTCATTTTGGAATTTCGAGCACATTGTTGTTGTAGTGTTGCAAGCGAAAAATGAGTTTCAATGCTGAGAGAGCCAGTCAGAGAGATCGAGTGCGAGAAAAACAGACGGAGAGAGAGAGAGCGATAGAGACCGAAAAAGGAGAAATCCGTATGTGTATGTTTTTCCACGCAAAAATGATAATTAATGAAAAACTCTCTTGCTATATATGTTTAGTGATGCACCAACTGAGTTTGTCTTTTGTAATCAATCATCGTGCTTAAGTGGAAGTAATGAATCGGTAAACGCGCGAGCTAGCGAGCAAACGCAAACAAGTCGCGACTCGCAATGCAAATCTCTCAATGAAAAATATTATGTAATTGAGCTTAATTTGGCAGCGCGCTGCTTATTCATCATGAGCACCAGAGTCTCATCGAAAATTGGATGTACGTACGAGCGAGTGTTCTGCCACGATATAAATATTCTATAAATAAGCAAAAAAAAAAAGCGATTGCAATTAATTCGATATTGTAATGTCATACAGAATGTCTGTCTGAAATTTAAAATAATAATTTTTGGTTTGATAAATATCTTCGTTGTTGCCATTTTTCGATGAGAGATGCACAACAAACATGCTTCATTATGTATATGTACTTCGTCTTACTCAAATTGGGGTGGATGTGTGTGTGTGTATGTTTTTTGCTTATTATCGTTGCAGGGTTGATTGTAAAAAGAGATGTAAAATATACGGACGTGCGGGTGCTTGAGACTCTTGTCTCATTTTGGGGTTTGGTTGTCGCTTTCGTCGTCGTTCTCGTCGAGAGCCGTCGTCATATTCAGTGCATAACGTGAAGCTATCAACGGGAATAATATCAAAAGTTACGCTACTGCAACACTGAAAACAATACTTTTCATTTGCATAGATTCGAAACAAGAGCCATATGCAAACTGATATCCAGACTCTTTTTTTTTCTCGCTCGTTTTGTTTGAGTTTGATGGCATGTGTTTCGTTTTATTAAGTGCATGTGTGTATATGTGTGGTGGAAATGCAATCAGAACAAATTTCATAGACGACAAACATGCCGCATCGTCGACGGAATAAAACAATTTCGTATAATAAACCGATGATTTAATTAACCACCATTTTCAGAAGAATTGAGGGCGGGCAATTCAAGAAGGAGCTATCGCGAAAGTTGCACAACCATAACTTTCAACTAAAACTAAAAGCTTTATGCACTTAAAATTGTACCTGCGCCAAAAACGACGACGACGACAACGGGACAAACGGGAGAGAGGGAGTGCACAAAACGCATTACAACTTGCTGTGACTTTGTCAAGTTGCAACATGAAATAAATCGCAACGGAAAAAAATGGAGGATTTGAAAAAGAACGCATCACAAAATACTTTGGTGTTGAAAACTGTCTTGCAGAAGAGGATAAGAGGGCGAATTTTAACTGGATAAGAATGCATAAGAAAGAGTCATACTTTGAGTGGAATATTCAATAAAACGGCGACACAAGATGGATATACAAAGAGTTCAACGATAAATCCCGCTTTCTTACGCTTCCCATTCCAGTGGTTTGAACAAACATTTTAATTGCCATGGTTTACTCTCTGGTAGAGAAAGAAACATGGAGACTGCTTTTTATCCATTTCCCTCTTTTTTGCACTCTCAGCGACTTGTTTGGTAGATTAGAACCGAGAGAAGAGAAAAAAAATTCGTGTATAGAGCACATTTTGTTGACGAAGTATTTCGACGTCTTAGCAAGTTTTTAGTTTGACATGCTTTCAACGAAAATCATTTCCAAATTAAACTTTTTCTATGATTCTCTTTGCCTTCTCTTGTTTTTGTTTGTTTACTCATAATGCCATATGGAAAGTTCCTTACAACTCAGTTTACCCTAACATTATTTTAACATAAAAAAAATAATTCAATCGTTTCATTTCATTTTTCTTTCCTTTGTTTTTTTTTCCTTTTTTATTTTCTATTGAGATCATTTCAAAATGATTTTTCATTCATCCATTTGCATAATAACTTTCTGTTGTGTTTGTGAGAACGAAAGAGCGAGTGAGTGGCTTGATTAAAAGGATTCAATGGATTGTTGGAAACTCGAACCAAAAATTTTTCTTTTGGGATTATGTGATTACTCGATTTGTATAAGTCGTCGAAAGCAACCCACGCGCAAATACCAAGGCAGCATGACTAATCATGGCCCAAGCAACGATGTTAGCTTTAACGATCATTTTCTTCTTCTTCTTCTTCTTCTTCTTCTTTTTTCGGGGTATAATGAATGCTTTTAGCATAAAGCGTATGAACGGATGCTCCGTTAAACGACAGATTCCGGGAGACGGGGGGGGAGGGGTGGTTTAAACAGATGAAGTCGTATACATATAGAAATGCACAAGAAAAACCGTAACCATAGCCCGCAGTTAAAAGCTTTTAATCGATTATGACAAAAGCAACAACTGTGTTATGTGATATAATTTCTCCATTCACCAAAAATAAACTTCACTACATGAAATACATATGAATTTTTATTTTTATTTTTTCTATAGATGAATTTGTTGTTGTTGTTGGCTGTCAAGTAGAGTATAGACAAGGAATAAATGAAGAGTAAAAGCGAATAGCGAGAGAATACGGATAGATCATGTTTGGCTGTTGCCTGATCCAGTGAAAAAAATACACGAAAAATATGGTATATCTGTGTGTGATTGAGTGTATGTGTGTAAGTACTTACCCCATAAACCATTCAACGGTATCTCGCAGATATTCAGGAAGTCGCTCCATGAGTTTTGCTCTCGATTTATTCTGACCACAAATATTTTAACGCACAATTTTCAGCATCCCATTTGCGGCATATTCCAATTTTCCCAGTGGTTTAAATACTTTATTTTTAAATTCACTTTCCGTTTTGATGCTTGTATCAATTCGTTTTTGTTTTTCGTGTTTCTTTCAATCTTTTCTGACGTTTATTTTGGATACGTTCACAATTCGCAATTATGCCATCATTACTGAATAATCACACTTTTTCTGACCTGCAATTTGTATGTCCTGTGAAAGAGAGAGAGAGAAAAACGTTTTTATTTAAATCAAAGAAACAGTTTTTTTTTGCAATTTTTAATCAAACGAATATTTTGTATTCAAAAGAACTTTTCTGTTTGAGAAGAACGAAAATTTATTTCAAAAGAATCTCATCAATTTGGAAAAAAAGTTCTTCAATTTAAAAATGATGCTTCTCATTGAGAAAGAAGAAACCAAGTTTTTGATGGAAACAAAATTTGGCTTTTTACAATTTTCGTCCAAAAATTCCACTTTCTTGATGATGACCGTTTTTTCATCTTTTCAAAATTTATGTCTTGATAAACTGGATTTGCGAGACATTTGATGGGATCTCTTCTTGTTATCATAATAGTTTTTATTTCTTTGTTAAGTCCAAAAAGCCGTCCACATTGTGAATTAAAATCCAATTAGAAAATTGGAACCCGTGATTATTTTGAAGGTAAATTCAATGATGAATATTGCAACAAAAAATATCCTCGTCAAGTTCTTATCTAAGGCAACTGAGGTGTGCATTAAAACATACGACACGCAATCACAATATGCGTGATATTGAATCGGCGATCATGGGGTACGTGTCCGAAAACAAAAGAGCGTTGGATGGGTGTTATCGGTACGGAAAATCCAAAATGAAAATGGTGTGATGCGACTAGACGCGACGCATTTCACTGTAATCAATTATGTGAAAATAGCTTTTACGAATATTTGTAGCCGTTTGTCACATCCACCTCCACCATTCTGCCTTCGCCACATCGCATCGATATACATATTGATTATTGATACGGTGGAACAAGTGAGAGGGAGAGTGAGAGTGAGTGGGAGAGAGTCACGGAATGTGTAATATTTTGTGAACTGTTGGTATTTAGATCGTGCCAAGCAAAAGCGATACAATTAGGATGTTCACATAAATCTCTCAATTGCTATAATTTTGCACGTGTGATATGGGATGTAAGACGCGTGAGGGACGGAATTCTCTGTTAGTATTTCCTTTACAATACACACACACACATATACAGATACATGGCACGTAAATTTGGTCAGAGATGATTTTCCGACTTATTTTTCCCTTCACAATCACTTCTTTTTTCTATTCTATTGATTTTTTTTCTCGCTCTAAAAATACACAGTTTGAAGAAATGAAAAGGGAGCCGAGGAAGGGAGAGGTAAACAGATTGGGTTTCTTCACGGTGTATTTTTGATTCGTTTTACTGTTATTGCTGCAGAAATGCGAAAAAAATTCGCCGAACAACTTCATTTTTATTCAATCGATTCTGTGGAAATGTTGCTTGGGTGGCTTTGGTTGCTATAGTTAGTGTGTCGCATCAATGTAATTCTTCGGTAATTCTTCGGGTAATTAATTCAGAAAGAAGAAGAAGAAAAAAACATAGTGCGATTGAATGGCTTCACTTCGTTCAAAGGGGGTCTCCTGCAATTAGACTTTTTATATGCTGTGTGTATATTGAATTTTGCCTGAACGCACGCTCTCTCTCTCTCTCTCTCTCTCTCTCTCTCTCTCTCTCTCTCTCTCTCTCTCGCCTCTCTGTACAGCAACCGAACCAATTTGAATTATTAATAGTTTTGATAGCAATTTCTCTCTTTCTTACACACACACATCACACCATACACTCACTTTCTCGTTCTCTCTCACGCTCGTTCTATCTTCAACACTCGAATTGTTTTATTTCAGCTTTATTGAATGTATTGTATATACGGCCACCACAAGATTGAATTATCGATAAATTGGTTTCTCGCATCGGAGTTGTTTGTTTCAGTTGAGGTTTTAGATAAGCGAAGATTTTCGAATCATTGCATTAATCGGCAATGGAGAGCAACAATAATAAAAAAACACATAACACTCAGTTGTTTCGATTGAACAAATTTCATCAATCCAACTTACATTCACAACGGTCAGCATACACAAAATGCTTTTTTGATTTTCGGTTGGATCATAAATGATTTGGTGTGATGTGTGTGTGTGTGTTTTTTTCTCTTGAATGAATTTTCAGGTGGTTGAAAACACTGATTCTGGTCTGTCACGATTCGTTGATTTCTTTTGGTTTTACACTCTGCCTTCACTACTGGCATATCATGCGACAAAAACAAAACCTTTCTGTTTCTTTTTATCTGTCTTCCTTACCGTCAACACATTTCAATTTATTTAGTTTTTTTCTTCACTGGTCCAAAGTCAATGAGTCAACAAGTTCATTCGATACGGAGTGTGATTAAATTCAGAGCAAAGAAAAAACAACAATCGAAGAAATGACAAGAAAGAAAAAAAAAAACTAGAGCAAAAGACCTAAATTTGCACGAGGCAAAATACAAAACAGTTTTTTCGCACTTTCTTCACAATTTTAGCCCATCGCAAAATGAACACACAAGAAACCACACACTGCGAAATCTCTCGAGCTCACACGAATTTTATCAAATCACCACTTAGATGAACACAGAAAAAAAATGGGATTCTTGATGAACGAAGAAAAAAAACACACACGAAATTAAACGAAACCACAAAGAATTTCGTTGACTTTATTTTTTTTTAGCGATTCTGATTTCGTCTTTCCAATAATGCAGTATTTTTATAATATTTTCAATGTTTCTTTTTCTTCTTTTCTCTCGTTATTATTTTTTATCTCGGTTTTATTTTCTGATTTCGTTTCGCGTTCTCTTCAGTAGTTGCGAATAAATTTATTTATTTAGCACATTCACATTGACGTATTTAATACCCAAAGATAATAACAATAAAAATATAGGAAACAAAAACGACGTATGTGCATGTATGAAGCAAAGAAAGTAGAATTTTCACTTTGATAGCTTTTAAACGCAGTAATAACACTCATTCACGTATTGATGCACATACAGATAGAGCGAGAGAACGAGAGAGAGAGAGAGAAAGAGCGAGAGCACGCACACTATCAAATCACTTCACATATGGGCTATGATGACAGATTGTTTTCGATGACAGAATTGTCAAAAACACAACGAACTTCACCAAAAAAAAACACGAAACGAAACGCAAAGAATCAGAGTTTTGCTAATATACCTGCTGATTGTAAATTTTTGTTTTCTCACCCAATCTTTTTTGCGCTGATTTCCAACAAAATTTTCCAACAACATTCATTTGCTTCAAACATATTGCTCTCCGTTAATTTTACCTCAACATAAAAATGTTCATTGCTTTGGTATATTCAAACTGATTTCTCAACTCCGTACATTTGAACGAGAGAGTGAGCGAGACGATGAGATTTAGGTGAACGAAAACAAAAGGTTTCAATTGCTTGTGTGCTGTGTGCAACTGTTTTCGTTGATGTATTCGAGTGATTCAAGTTGTGGTGGTGGAGTGTGTGTGTATGTGTGTGTGTGCGTGTATATGTAAGCGTGTGATGTCAGGCCATTTTCTGTGGTGAGTTTAAGCAGTTGTGATGTGCGTTTTGTGAGCCATTCAATTGCATGGTGAATCATGTGGACAAATGAATTTTGCCCGTTTCACACATGGCAAAAACATCAAAACAAATTCATTTCGTTGGACTTCATTCATCACAGTTTTTCAGCGTATTTTTGGCTCTTCTATTAAGATGGTGAAATCAATTGCGTTTGATGATCAATATTGACATGAAAATGCTGAAGCAATAATTATATAAGAATTTTGAACAGTGGTGAATAAAAATCAACTCGAAGCAAATGCAAGTTTTTTTTCAAATCTAAAATACGATGAAATTTTGGAAAAAAACCCAACTGATCGATTTATCAATGCCAAAAATATGAATAATTCTTATAAAAAATGATGCAAACTTTAAATGACACATCGATTTTTAATGCAAAACCCATTGAAATTTCTTTCACCGATCTCTTACAACAGACACATTCACTTCACTATGGAACACAGCATCAACACAAATCCAATGGAATTACTTACGTGTCTCTTCCGTTTTACGGCAAAATGATTTATTTTCTCTCCAAAAACAAAACAAACGAAAATAAAAATTCGACATAAATCACCGAAACCGCAGCAGATATGCTTGATGGAAATCGTTGTGCAATCGATTTGTCGATTGAATCCGGCTATGACATTTCTGCAACATTGAAAACAAACAACATTATTAGCAGTGGTTACTGTGTGTATGTATGCGGTACAAATGTCGACAGCGACCTCTGTACACACCAACTGTCACATTCATTCGAACTTCTTCTTATTATCATTTGACATGTCAAATTGCAAATTCAATTTCGTTTATATATTTGTTTTTGCATCCGCGCTAGAAATAGATCGAAGCAAAAACATTTGAAAAAGCCATAAAACAAATCGAAATTAAACACACTGATTGAAATTCCATGAAATTTATGCGGCATCTGTCCGATACGCTGAACGAATAAAACAACGCATAACACTTTGTAGACATAATATACCTTGTAATTTGTGTGGGCATTTTTGAAATGACATCAAAAGACGCTCGATATTTTATCATGTTTTGTTATCAGTAAAAATTAAAATTGAGTGTGTGCCATGTTCCTATTAGCCATAGCTAAGCATAGTCAAATGCCGCGTTGTTGAGTTGCCTAATTTTCTTTTATGTTGAGTTCAGTTCAGTTGTTTTTTTTTCACTTTCTTTCTTCCTTCTTAATTCTCCGTTCCGCTATTCAGTTCGGTTTATTCGGATTTAAGTCTGACGAAAACGAGAATAAAAATTCAATCTCTTCAATGAGTGCTAATTGAAATCATAAGTTTGAAATCCTTTTTTTCATATTCCTCTTGACCGTGTGCCATATTTATGTGTTAAAACGTGAAACATGAATTATTTTTTTGTAATTTTGCTTGTGTGCCATGTGAGTCTCTCGTTTGGATCGGCAACCAATGTAACGCCTGAACATGGAGAGCCAATAGTAATCGAGAATACAAAGCAATCAAACGAAGTGCCATCAACCACGGATGTGGATCAAAAGAAACCACCGACTATTTTAATTGCAACACTCTTCCGGAATAAGGCGCATATAATGCCCTTGTTTTTCACATACTTGAATCGAATCGAGTATCCAAAGGATCGGATTACGTTATGGTATGTATAATAAAGCGATAGAAAACAGTTGGACAAGGAATCACATTTGTCCAGAGGGGAATTATTCTTAAATTTTAATTTTATCACGAAAATTCTTGATTATATAATTTTAGTTCCTAGTTATGAAGGAATATTCAACATATTTCAAATAAATGACACTCCTAATTCAAATCTAAACAACAAAAAAACATTCAATTTCAGGATCCGTTCCGATCATAATGAAGACGAAACGATGGAGGTGCTAAATCAATGGCTGTACAAATGGTCGAATGCATATCATCACGTTGATATTGAATATGACAATACAACGAAACTTCGAGATTCGGAAATATCGCAAACGCATTGGTCAAATGAGCGATACCTCGACGTGATTCGCATGAAGGAGGAGGCTCTGAATTATGGTCGCAAAATTTGGGCTGATTATGTTTTCGTAAGTGTCAACACTAATTACTTTTCTTTTATTGTAACGCACATTGTTCGATTCATTTGTCCATTGACACAGTTCTTCGATGCGGATGTACTGCTGACGCGTCCAACGACATTACTTGAGCTTATACATTTGGATGTACCAATTGTTGCTCCGATGCTGCTATCGGATGGTCTTTATTCAAATTTCTGGGGTGGCATGACGCCGGAATACTATTATCAGCGCACCACCGAGTACAAAACCATCTATAATTATGATCAACGGGGTCAATTCGATGTGCCGATGGTACACAGTGCCGTTCTTATCAACCTAAATGACAAGCGCAGCGATACGCTAACCTTCAACAAAACCAAATTAGGTGCACGTTTTTTGCTCAGCGATCATGATTTGGCACTCATACCAACCGATGACATTATCATCTTTGCATTGTCCGCCAACTATTCACAAATGCCATTGAAAATATCCAATGAATTTTTGTACGGTTTTGTGACGGTGCCATTGGATGCGGAGGATTACATTGAAAAAGACTATCAACAGTTGCTTAATTTGAAAATTATGATTTTAAATGATGAAACCAATTCGTTGATTGACGTTGAACCAGAATTTGAACGCTTTTCAAAGTATCCCGAAGCGGATATGATGAGCTTTGATCGAATATTCATGATTAATTTGTTGCGACGCCCAGAACGACGTGTTAAAATGGAACGAAGCTTCAAAGAGATCGGATTGGATGTGGAGCATGTAGTGGCAGCCGACGGTCAAATACTGACACAAGAATATTTGGAAGAGATTGGCGTCAAATATCTACCCGGTTATGCTGATCCATTCCAAAATCGACCGATGACAAAAGGAGAGATCGGGTGTTTCTTAAGCCATTATCGAGTTTGGGAGCAACAAGTTGCTCGTGAATTGAACGAAGTTCTTGTACTGGAAGACGACATTCGCTTTGAACCATACTTTAAACAACGTGCACTGCATTTGATGGACGAAGCACGACAAATTGGTGGATGGGATCTGATGTATGGCTTGGTTGACAAAAATAATTTAGATGGGTTTAGACAAAATATTGATTTTTTTATATCCACCAGATATTTTGGCCGAAAGCGTTTGGTTAAGAAGAATGAAAATTGGGTCGAGGGTTCCGATCATCTTGTTCACGCAAGCTATTCCTATTGGACACTTGGATATGCTCTATCCCTTGAAGGAGCCAAAAAATTGTTGGGTATGTTACTCATAACGTGCATGAGATTGTCTGATTTTTAACGAAGAAATTTTCGTGAGAGTCGAATTTTTTTTGTTGAAAAACCTATGATATATTTCATGGTGAAAAATCTAAAAATATGAAGAAGAATTTGAAAATTTCTTGGAAAAATTCTATTGATTGTTCTTTTCCTACGTTCAAAATATCAACTGATGCTATTTTAATTAGTATTTTCGGTAAGATCATGTATTAAACAGTCATTACATTCGCTGATTTCAGCTGCTAAGCCGCTTGAAAATTTGCTACCAGTCGATGAATTCTTACCGATAATGTTCAATCAACACCAGAATGAAACGTGGAAACGTGCATTCCCCATTCGGAATTTGAATGCATGGAGTGCATCTCCGCTTCTGCTGTTCCCAACGCACTACACGGGCGATGAAGGATATTTGTCTGACACAGAGCAATCGGATATAATCGACATCGCTGGTGAGTCATTTGTTGTAATGAATGAAATGAAGTTATTTAATGATTATCAATGAGACAAAAAAACCGCGTGGCAAATTCTATTAAAATTGTTTTTTAGTGCGCTTAGGCGTGTCATAATCATCTCAATTTTTAAACATTTTTTTTTCTGTCGTTTGAAATCTGAATTTTAATATAAGTAATTGAATATTCGTTTTCTTTTCATTACAATTGCAGGCGAGAATGGTGTAGAGAAAAAAGGCAACAAGGAGAATAATAATGGTAGCGCAATGATGAAATCAAGTGGCGATGGTGATAACCATGCGAATGCCGCGACTGCAAACAATACATCAATTGACACGTCATTTCTTATAAACAAAGTCAACGATCATGCAACCATTCAGCATCAATCATCCGATCAACATAGCGAGCTCTAAATGACAGACACTTCGCATAAATCTCTCTAAACGCATTTTTCCAGTTCTAAATATTTAGTCGACAAAAAGTGCCTTTTTTGATGACATTTTTTACTAGTTCTACTCATTCAAAAAAGACCCATTTGCATCCGCAATCCACATATTGCAATGTGGTTCAATTTATTTTCTCATAAAATGTAGTAAGCAACATGCCATGATCAATGAAAAGCAGACAGAGTTTTGAAATCAATTTGCTTTATTTAAAGAATCTCCCGATCGCATAAGAAAATTAAATACCAAAAATCGCATTTTCAATGCACAATTTTGTTGAGCACAAATTATTTTTAGAAACAATTTTACAACAAAAATTAATAAAAAAAAAACCACAGTCGAGAGTTTATTTCGATAAATTGCTAGCGTTGTTTCAATTGGAAAGATTTTCCTATTTAATGTGAATGGTTCGTTTAAAATGAAATGACTTTGGTTTTTAGATTAGTTTCGATGGATTTTTTTAAGCACCATTTTCCTCGAAACGTCCTTTGATCGGTGTTGGCGGCAGTTGATTGAGTTTCAGCGAATCGATGTCACTGAAATCGATGACAATACGCTTGCACGTCGGTTTGTATTGTGTGTACTTGATTTCGGCTGCGTCAAGCATTCGCTTCGATGCAACGACTTCAGGTTTATGTGCGTGTTTGTCCGACAAATAGATTATTTCCTTGATGCGTGACTGAATAATCACTTTTGCACATTCGTTGCATGGAAACAATGCCACATACAGTGTGCAATTTTTTAAATCGGCCGATAATTTATTGAGCACGGCATTCACTTCGGCATGGCACACGTACATATATTTTGAATCGAGTGCGTCGGGTGTATTTTTACTCCATGGGAAATCATCATCGCTGCAACCAATTGGAAATCCATTGTAACCAACGCCAACTATTTTTTTATCCTCATTGACAATGCACGCTCCAACCTGTGTACTTGGATCTTTGCTTCGTTTAGCCGCTAAGAATGCCATCGCCATAAAATAATCACCCCATTCGATGTAACCCGATCGCTTTTTTGTCGGTGAATGGTCTGAACCGTTTTTTTCTTCCATTTTTTTTTTTTGACTGAATCTTGAATGAAATATTTCACGGTAATTCTCAAGCAATTCGCAATTTACTTTGCACACTCTGACTAAAACAGGAACTAACTGACGGAGAATCGCTCTGTAAATGTAGGCAAGCAAGTAACAGAAAAAACACTGAGTCTACTTTGTTGTTTTTAAGAAATTGTGTGTGGTCGATTTGAGGAGTTGTCAAGAATACGCGGCAAAATACATCGTTGAGATTTGAAAGTTTAGATGGCGCCACCGTTCAACATACATTTCTCTCAATTTGCGTCTTTTTGATTTGAAGAATTTATTTCGGAATATTTGGATTTAATCATTTTCATGAATATTTTTCGGTTTCCTATGATTTCTATTCATTTCAAAACGTCATTTTCTTGTTTAAAGTTTTTGCTTGAATGTCAAGTATTTTGTCAATTATTTTGATTTTCGTCGCAACGAAAAAAAAGCTGTTCATTGAAGTGAAAATTAATCAAATTTATGTCTAGAGAGCAGTTAAGGTAACGGATAAAATTCAACTAAATTCAAAATTTTTTCAAACCATTAGTATTTCAGTTAGTATCATAAAGCTACCGTCATTGCTATTTCATTCAGTCAGCTTGGGTAAATTTATCGATATTTTCCATGAGTTTCCAATCCAATATAAATTAAATTTCAATCAATTTTCCTTAAGAATAACAGTAATAAAAAAATGCATGCATACAGCATACGATAAAATTCACATAGATTATCATACGATTCATTTTAAAGGGAATGGATATTTGAACCGTTGCGACAAAAAAAAATCCCTCAGAATATTTTAGTTTCAAAGTGCAACATGGAATTTTTGTATATAGAGTTTATAACAACAACACCATATGGAAAAAAAATATTTAAGTTGCACTTTGAAACTAAAATATTTTGAGAGATTTTTTTGTAGCAACGATTTATTTGCTGCTTCTGTCTGATTGAATACTTGCACACACAAGCTTAAAACGGATGAAATTTGTATCTTAAAATCGATTTGGAATATTAAATGAAATGAATCCCATACCCCCTAGTTACGCCACTGCATATGGTCATCATATTTTTCTAGTATTATGCCATGTAAATGCTTCTTGAGTTATTGAAATGCTAAGTTTATTATAATTCGATTAAACATAAACGACTGCAGAGGTCTCCCACGAAAGAAAAAATAGAGAAATTTTCTCTTTAAAATATTTATACGAAACTGATGTGGTCTTTCCTTTGGCCAACGATTATTAAAGCCAGAATCGATAAATGTATATGACCCGAGGGGCAAATCACTCTAAAGTAAAATGATTTGGTTTGGAGGTCTAAGCGACTGATTTATTTAAATAAATGAAAGAGTTGACACTTTATAGTCGCTTAAATATTTTTTATTTTATAAATAAAATAACAGAACAATTGTTTCGACGCTTTATGCGTCATCATCAGCTGTGTGAATTCAACTAAGCGAAACACGCAAAAATTCTAAGTGGAGAACAACATACAAATGCAAATCG